TTTATCGTACACTTAACAATTTAAAGAGGATAGCTCTCATGTTAAGGGTTCTTAAAACTACAAATAGATTTTTTAAACATGAAATCTTAATCTTATTCATTTTATAACAGAAATAATGTTAGTATGAAAGGTAAGTCCTTTTCCTTGGGCTGTTAAATGGTGACCCCTTCAAAAGATACATTCACATCCTAACCCTCAGGACCTGTGAATTAGACCTTATTTGGAGACAGTGTTTTTCACATGTAATTAAGAACCTTGAGATCAAGTCATCTAGATTATTCAGGTGAACCCTAAATCCAGTGACAAGTATCCTTATAAGAGATACCCAGAGGAAAAACACAGGAAGAGAAGGCCACATGAAGATGGAAGGAGACTGATGTACACTGACAAGCCAAGGAACACCAGGAGCCTCCAAAAGCTGGAACAGGCAAGGAAAGAATTTCCTACTGCCTTTGGAGGGAGATGATTCTGATAACACCTCGATTTCAGGCTCAGGGGTCACTCCAGGTAAACTGAGCTAGCTGGGCTGTGCAAAATAACCACACAAGAAACACAAATACCTTTTTCTTTGGGGTCGCTGTGATGGCTCCTCTGACCTTAAGGGTCCACAGAAAGAGAGAGCATGCGCTGACCCCTTTTATTGAGGAGAAGCTATTCAAAAGAGGCAAGGGGTCAGGTTTCGGGGGGCTGAGTCAATCTTCATGATGTCCACTGTCAGTAGGTTGACTGACGTCTGGGTAGGCCACATCCAAGGACAGAGTTAAGAGAAGGGGGCATACACAAGGCACTTCCATGGAACATTCTATCCTAAACAGGGCAAGGGGTTATTTTACAAAGGAACAGGTAAGCATAGCTCCACCCATGGGGCTGCAGGAAGACACGTCGGGGCACGAAGACACAAGTCACTTGGACCCTAGAAGAGCAGGGCAGTCTAGCAGCATGGGTGCCTGATGCCACATCGCCCAGCAGGGAAGTTAACTCAGTCACGTGCAAGGTTGGTCTCCCACAATCTTCTGTACCTGACTTTGTCGCCAGAGTTAGCAATACTCTATCATACACTTAACAATTTAAAGAGGATAGCACTCATGTTAAGGGTTCTTAAAACTCCAGAATAGATCTTTTAAAACAGGAAATCTTAATCTTATTCATTTGATAACAGAAATTTTAGTATGAAAGGTAAGTCCTTTTCCTTGTGCTGTTAGTTAAATGGTGACCCCCCCCCCAAAGATACATTCACATCCTAACCCTCAGGACCTGTGAATTAGACCTTATTTGGAGACAGTGTTTTCACACATGTAATTAAGGACCTTGAGATCAAGTCATCTAGATTATTCAGGTGGACCCTAAATCCAGTGACAACTGGATTTCTGAAAGCAGAAAAACAGACAAGGTGACTCGTGATTTCATCTTCTACTCTAGTTAGTGTCTGTATCAAAGGATCCATTGTGTCTTGCACATTGCATGCATTCATGGGGTTGCTACATCATCCCCGTGGATGTTACAGCAACCCATTCTGTTACCATCATGTGGCTACTGTCACACCACAGCTATGCTCCCCAATCTGCATTTCCCAACTGATTTACACTACACTGTGCACTGGAACCGTCTTCATATATGCCTGTCAGAAGCCCTGAAAACCCTGCAAATTCTAGGGAAGTCTGGGGTGAGACCTAGGAATTTACATCCTTAACAAATTTCACAAAATATGCTAATATCCCCCTATGATTGAAACCTTGAACCTAGGACATTCAGCAACTGAACCATCTGGCTATTCTGATCCCCATTTGGAGGGAATATGATTCTGATAGAGATTATGGTGCACAGAATAACATAAATGAGATGGACACCCTTCAACAGTCTCATTCCTAGAAGTAAATATTTCATCCATAGCATGTTTCTGGGTCTGCACAGATTGAAAGGTGGAAAGAGGACTGAGAAAATAAAGTAAAATCAGACTTTGTATGTAGTGGAAGTATTAGAGTATTTCTGGATTAAAACATATAATCCATATGAAAAATAAAATGTTTATGCACTAAAGTTTGTCAGAAAAAAAAATAAAGAGAGCCATGACATTAAATTTGATGTAAGAACTAGTTATTGAATGTCTACTGTCTCAGATACTGTGGGAGGTATAGGTCCTCTAATATTGAATATAACAGTCCCTCCGTTTCTCTGAAGCACTAACTTAGGGCACTCACTGGGAAACCAGAAGCATGGTTATAATTAATCTCAACACTTGCACCTAGGGCTGATCTTGGGGCAATCACCAAGAGCGTACCCTGTGGCTRAAGTGGATTTCTCTCTGCAGTCACTTTCAATACAAAACTGATGTTATTTTAAAACATGGAAGTCAGTGGCATTAGGTTTAAGAAGTTGACATTTATTAAAAGTTAGAGGAGTATAAGGAAATTCTCAACTCCTGGTTAAGGAAAATTATAGAAAGAATGTTAATGTTTCTGATTTGACTAACAAATAGAGGTGAAAGATTTGCTCTCTGACTCTTGTGGGGATTCCTTAGTGAACATCAAACTACAATTCTAGAGTTCGTCCTTTGCAAAGAGGGACAGCCCAATATAAAAAAAAGAGTCCAGCTGTGCCCATTTTCATTAACATATGATTGATGTTAAATTATATGGCTAAGTTCAGAATTGTAATCATTATTAATTCAGTATTATTTAATAGCATAACTCTGGTTCAAAATATGACTCTCCCTAAAACCAATGATCCCAACTAAGATTGGCATACATTAATTCACTCACTGAAGCAATATTTTACAAGCTCCTACCTTGTGCTGGACATTATGCTAGGTGAGGTTGCCATAATGAGCACATCAGCTTGGTTTCTTTTAGGCTCATTCTAAAGGCCTATTCCATAAGAGCTTCTATTCACATTCCTGTGGCAGATATCACAGTATCCTCTCCTGCCAAGTCCTTAGGAGGCCTGGGGATCTTTCCCAACATGATACCCATAATATTATCAGTTAGAGGTGGAACACAAGATAAAACTTATTTACTGTCCTAGATCCTAACCAAACTATACTGAAATCAACTGCTGATCCCACAAAACACTATGCCTTGGTTCATGCTATCTTGTTCGACTTGCTTCTCCTTCCTACAAACATTCAAGTCAACCATTCTAAAGATCTAGCACAAATGTTCTGTTGGAATTAAAAACCACACAGATCATTTGAATCCTCCCCATTCAGTTGTAATTCCTCTTCTGAATCTCTATAATTACTTCTTCCTTTTGTTACACTCCTTAATAGCAACAAAGTCTAGTTGACCTAATAAAGTGCATACCATCTCTCACATAAGCACCTTAAAACTAAGAAATGTCTTAGATCTTGACCTCATATTATCAACCATACATCTGTGAACACACACACAAATTTCCTTGCCAGGCATTGATTCAATTGATTAATTATGAGAGGATTTGGGATTAAGAGAGAATATATAAGTTCACTTGGGAAAAGCTCACCGTACAGCTATGTTCAGTGGGCATCTATCATTTCTATAGTTCTGGTTATCAGGTTGTATTTGCAAAGCAAATTATTCTTYGGATTTCATTATATGAAAGAAAGTTTATCTAATGTACAGAAATAGTACAAAAGTAGATTCTCAGACTGTAAATTGTGGTTTTTCTAGAGTGTGTGAAAACTTTGATATACATAACATTTGTGGCCATATGCTTATGTATATTTTTCCAGGGAAAGAATCTATATCCTTCATATTCTCAAGTTACAAGAATTAGATTATATGTGCAGTAATTGTGATGACTGATGCTGACAGGTGTGTTTGTCCTCCCACATGTTGAAATGTCATGTTGGGAAAGGGAAGAACCCCATGTACTACTGCTCCCAGATGTAACCCTCTCACAGTGATACTGGTAATCCCAAAACTGTTTTTCATGTGTTCACTGCTCTCACTGGCTTTTTGAACCATATAAGCTTCTGAATAATCACAGTATCTATTAAACTTCCATGATATTTTCAGAACTTAATAAATCTCTACTAATGATGAGGGTTTTGTTGTTGTTGTTGTTAAATCTTACATACTTTTAGAAACATGTTCTCAAAAATTGAAATTAAAATATATTAAGTAATTTAAAGGTATTTATATTAGTCATTAATAGTATTTTTCCTGCCTACAGAAATATAAATAAGACAGTGGGAAAAGAAAATGCATATCCTTAAGACAAACATTCATGTATTAATGTTTATTTAAAATCACGCAAGCATTTTTCATATTTTTTACAGATGTCAAGTGACTATACCTAACTTTTGTCCACAAGACATACTGAGTCAAACAATATGATTAATCCTAATGGTATCTTTTTTAAAAGAATGTAAGTACTAAGCTACAAAGACAATAAGTCAATTATCAGACTTATCTTTTTTTAAAATAAGATTTTTTTAATGAGTCAAATTTATCACAAAGAATTAGGAAACAATTAAAGCCAAATGTGTTCCTTAGGGCATGCCAGAGGTAAGCAAAATGTCAACAGAATCAAAATTACTAAAAAATAAAGTTTTCTTCTGAATAATATAAACATCATGGCACATTATCGTTATTTGACAATAGAAAAGAGGAAGATATGTTTCTATATTGACTTTTTGTTGTTTCTATAAAGATTAAGAACAAAAATTTCAATAGCTCATGTAAAATTATAAATTCTAGAAGGTGAGCCATAAAGAGCTTCTCTTCAAAAGCATGCAATAATATACAAATAAAGTGTCTCATTTCAATGCATAAGAAGCATATTAACAAATTAAACATGGCTCTTTCCGCCCCACATTTGCTTCATCTACAAAGACTTTAGCTAGGAACAGCACTCCTTTTTAAAAGTAAATACACTTGTTTATTCAATTATTTATTTCTACTTTATTGATTAACATTTCAAATATCCATGTTACTGGTCAAATATGTACAATATTTCTAAAAACAAAAATAACAGTTATATACAGTTTGCAAAGATCAAATCCTAACCATAGATGCCTTCCATCTAGTCCAATGACTAGAGACAATGACAGGTAGTGCATCAGACTATAAGAAGCCTCAACACTATATCCAGATTTTTTCCCCCTTTTAAATTCCTTCATTTTTCTTAAAGAAATGTTTAAAATTTACCTGCCTGGAACCAGTAATGGCTACATAAGTGATGCCTTGTGCCACAAACCAGTTTTCTTCTACCCAAAAACTACTGTTAATTGAAGGCAATTTTACCATTCAGATCAAATTCAGATGTCTAGATCCCAGATACCTGGGTATGAAATATGTAAATCTGCCAAGAGAAATTAGACATTTTTCTTCTTTGTGTTAATATAACCCACTATATAATAGTGAACTAAATATGTTTGTTTCATAGAAACAACTTACATTTGCCGATACAGGGCAAATGGTCTATGTACAGATACATTAGGACTGCCTAACTGACAGTGAGTGTTGCTGACCAGGCTCCAGGTCAGTGGAGCTAATATGGTGGTGCTCTCTGCTGAACAGACTTCCCCTTCAGGATACGTCGAATCTGCAAGAGAAATAAATAGGATTTGTGAGGTTTACTGTTGAGGGTCACGTGGTATATTTTATTCAGAGTTTAATTCCTTTCTTATATACTCTATAGCATTCCTTAAAGAAATGTGCAAAATATTATGCTAAGTGAAGTTAGCCAGTCCCTAAAAAWCAAATGCCGAATGTCTTCTCTGATATAAGGGGGGTGACTCAAAATGGGATAGGGAGGAAGAGCATGAGAAGAAGATTACCACTAAATAGGGAAGAGAGGTGGGAGGGAAAGGGAGGGAGAAGGGGAGTTGCACGGAAGATGGAAGGAGATCCTCATCGTTATACAGAATACATGTATGATGTTGTGAGGAGAAAAAAAAAATGAAGTGTGTCACATTAGATTGGATAGAGAGAAATGATGGGAGGGGAGGGGAGGAGTAGGGGGGATCGGAAGGGCAGCAGAATAGAATAGACATTATAATTGATGTATGTATATAGGTGACTCTATGACCAGTGTGAGTCTGCAATCTGTACAATTTGAAAAATGAGAAATTATACCCTAATGATTCAAATGTATGAATTGCCAAGATCATTGTAATGTCATGTGTAGCTAATAAAAAAAAAAAGAAGAAGAAATATGCAAAATATCTGTCATGATTAAAGTGACTTAAAGGGCTGGGGTTGTGGCTCAGTGATAGAGCACTTGCCTAGAACATGTCAAGGCACTGGGTTGGATTCTCAGTACCACATATAAACACATAAAATAAAGGTCCATCAATAAGTTAGAAAGACATTTAAAAAAAAGATTAAAGTGACTTAAAAAATGCAACTCCTTTTAAAGCTTATTTAAGAACTCCTATAGTGATCTTTGAGTGCAAGACAAATCAAACACCTCCACTAAAAATTATCTGAAAAATTGGGGGCTGGGGTTGTGGCTCAGTGGTAATGTGCTTGCCTAGCATGCATGAGGTACTGGGTTTGGTCCTCAGTACCACATAGAAATAAAATAAAGATACTGTGTCCACCTAAAGCTACAAAATAATGATTAAAAATTTGTTTTAATTATCTGAAAAATAAATTATATGAAGTTGAAAATCTACAGCTAAAATAGAATATTTCCTCACAAATTTAGAATTGTTATTTATGAAAATATTTAATTATGACTGTAATTATGATATATTAAAATATCTCAATTATACTGAAGCCAGCCTCAACAAGTTATAGTACTTAACMATAGCAAAGTATAAACTACCTAATAAAATGCATGCCATGTCTCCCTTAGCACCCTTCAAGTCAAAACAGCTGTCATGATATCAAAGTGTTCAATAAAGCATCTACACATAATTTTATGGGTCACATGAAAGTCCTCAGGCTCATTCAGAGGCTAGTGATTTGATTTTAGTGATTTGGTCTATTAAACCGATTATTTGTCTTTCAACCCCAACAAATTAGAAGTAACAATTTTAGAAGAATAACAACTGGGGTAGGGGATTTAACTGATAGTCTGACAATAAAAGCAAGGGGAAAGATCTCTCCACTCCCCAACAAACATAATGCAAAAGCAAAAAAGAGAGTAACCTAAGAACATTTTTAAGGAAGCAAATGAGCCTCCACACCTCAATGCTCCCTGGGAGCACTGTTATGTGAGTGCATACCACAATAGTAAAAGGCAGAGCAAATCCTGGGCTTAGCACTCTGATGTGCACTAGTTAATGATTATTCCTGTCCTCAGAACCTCTCTAAATACCAACTTTCACAGCTGAATATACTACAAAGTATTTGTAGATATTAAGTGATATACATAAAATCTGCTACAGACTATAGAGATTCTAACTTACAGAGGGGTTATGATATCATTATGGTCATAATGACAATCAGAAATCAAAAAAAGTCAAATTGCATTTTATAGATCTTATTTTAATTAATAATGTGATGAACTACCCAACTCACCCTCATTCCCCACAGGAGAAGATTTCCATCAAAAATCTTTTAATTTCTTAAAGGAGTGAGTTCTTATTATCTAGAAATCCACTCATGCAATTATTCAATCCCCAGTGATAATATAAACCACACTTGATGAGTAAAGCACAATTTTGTTTATAAAACATTTCTATGTTCTGTTACATTATAGCCTTTCCACTTCTTATTGCAATATCACTTGAATAGAAATAATTGTAACAGCTGGTGCTTATTATATGCCTGGGACTATCCTGAACACTCTACAGAAGTGAACTCATTTAATCCCACAATATTTGAAGGCTCATAGCTACAAAACTAAGAATCTCTTGCCTTGATAACTATAGGAACCTTAGTACCTCCTCTTTCATCAGCTTCCAAATCTTGAACCATTCTGAACTTATACTAAAACCAAGATTATGTCAGGGGAAAGAAAAAAGGAGACTATCTCACCTGACCTGACCACTTTATGGATAAACCCTCAAATTTCTTACCCTTCCTTTGGAAACAAAATTATTAACTCCAAAGTGCCATACTGACTACTGAGAGACAAGGACACTGCCTACCCAAGGAGCACCAGCTGGCCTTCACCTGAACAACCTCATCCATCTCCTTTTGTTTCAGACCAGAGTGCCTGAAGGTATTTCCTCTTCCTCCCTCACCTGTTCTCCCACAGGGCCATCAGGAACCAAATGCACTGGCTGTTCATTCTCCAAGTTCCGGGTACTTGGGTCGGCTCCCTTCCTCATCAACAGGCGGACAGCATCCAACTGTGTCACCCGATACTGTAGGCTAGCAGCAACATGGAGCGCAGTGTTTCCATTATAAGCCTGAAGACAAAGAAATGAAATAACTCACATCAGGAAGGGGGATTTTCATGAAAAGAGCCTGAAAACTTGAAGAAGGTGTGACAAAGGTCACTTCAACTCAGGTGTTACTGAAGGTTTCTAAAAGCACCTTTGTATTCACAAAAGACAGGCAACCAGGCAACTCCAAAAAGAGGCGAATGAGTTCCAGATTTGCTTCTTCSGCTGCCAAATGCAGTGCTGTGCGGCCACTTTTACGGTCCTTGTCAAAGACAAGAGAAAAAAAATGAAAATTCAGATACCAAGGCTTGGAATACACTTCTTATCCTGTCTCTCAAATGTCTGAATTAGCCTCAGAGACTTAACTTTGAATGTTCTCTTATACACAAAGTCTTCCTGAAACCCAAGCTAAATGGAATCTCATTCCTCCTAAATTTCCTAATAATTTATCTACTTAACTCTCATCACCATCTACCCTTGTATCAAGGGTAGCCATAAAATGTAGAAACATGATACCTTCTTATCATGTATTAGATCAGTAAGCTTTTTACTATATATCATCATTTTTATACTTTGTGGTACCAAGGACAGCTATCATGAACCATCTCTCTTAGCTTTTCTATTAGTGAACCCCCCAAATGCCCAAATGATTTATGATGTAGGCATTCCCCCCTCAAAGCAACTAACACAGTGCTTTAGGACACAGGAAATATTTAGTAAACAAACTTCCAATTTAAGAAGAACAAAATAGTCACAGCTTAAAAAACAAATGCTTGGAAAGGCCAAACAGCTTATTTAACAATAAAATATAAAGGGCTTGTTAAAAAAAAAAAAAAAAAAAAAAGTTAAGCCCAATCCTACAACAAAGAAACCCGCACCAAAAGCACTATCTTTATTGTCATAATATGCAAATGAAAGCCTAAATGACAACATCAATTTCAAGCATTTTTTTTCCTTTCAAAGACTAATTTATTTCACAGCTAAATGATCTTTTTGGATAATAATCCACAGAATACAAGCAGATCAAGAAAGCAAATTAAAGGATCYTTTATAATGTAATCTTCTTAACTATGCATACATTGCTACTCACTCAATTRATTTAAAAACAAGAAAGAAGTTGCTTTCACCTGTACTTGGGAATAAGGTCTTTTGCTACAACCACCTTTCTCCCCGACCTCATCTCAAACCTCTTCTGTGAATTTACCTTTGCTTCCACTGCTGCTCCCATTTGAATAAAACACTTGATGGTGTCAACTAGACTCTTATTCTTCAGTAAAAGCTCCTGAACTTCGGGTGAATGAGGCTGTTGATTTCTCTGGAGCTCATGTACCACAGCATTGTGGGCCAGGACAGCACAATGGAGGGGAGTCAGGCCTAGGAGAAAAGGACAGTAAAGCAGTGGTCAAGCATCTTGTCAATTCTTTGATTGCTCTGCAATTACAAAGCTTGAGGATGACCTCTCAGATTGCCTATCAAGGGGCTTCACAAAAACTAGTAATGAAATCTGAATAGACGCCTTAGTGCTAATTTTACCTAAAGAACATTTTAGTTTTAATTACCTTCCTTCCTTCTTAGTATGATACTTAATAACGCTTAGAATTTAAGGGCCCTACTTTCCACATGGTTCTTCCCCCTTTCATCCCTACCCACACTGTGGATTGAACCCAAGTGTGCTATAACTGAGCTACATCCCCAGCCTTTATATTTTAGGGTCTCACTAAGTTGCTGAGGCTGGTCTTGAACATTTGAAACTCCTGCCTCAGCCTCAGCTGGGATTACATGTGTGTGCCACCACACCCAGCCCTCCATATGGTTCTTAATCCAATAAGGTTTCAGTTGCTTACCATCATAGTTAGTTGCCTCAAGATCCACAAACTGATTGCTCCTCACTGCTCCCTTCTGGATTGCCTACAAAATTTTAAAACAGACATCATTAGCAAAAGATGAGAACACAAACACTTATCTACTAGAATTCCTAAGAAAAGAATAAATCAACTCAAAACARATTATTGGAACAAGCAACCTACTTGCAACTTCTAATATCTAAGCCTTATCTCTTTGGCCCTGTGATGGTGGAAGTCACTGTCTCTTACCTGAAGCACCTGGGAGTGGCCCTTCTCAGCACAGACATGCAGAGGTGTTCTTCCCCAGCAGTCGGTGGTATTCACCTGGGCCCCCAGATTTACCAGATCCTGCACAATGAGATGCTGATTGGCAGCCACTGCCACCTGAAAGGCACTCTGTGGACATTCAGGGGAAAAAAATATATATATTTTAAAGATATAACACTATAACAAAGAATGTGAAACTAAACCGTGGGGAAAACGAAAACCCATACAGAGAAAATAAATCCTATTAACAAACAATCAGACACCGTAAAAAAAACAAGGAAATTAAAATAAGCTTAGGGTGTGGCTTAATTATACTCAATCTTTAGTCAATAACTACAAAGTTAACATTAATAATGTCAAGGTTGATGGTGGCAAAAAGTCAATATTTCAAAGTTAATATTAACTAAAGTCTCTTGATCTTGAGCTTTGACACAATGTACACTTAAGACAGTCATCAATCACTTCACCATGACCATATCTTTGCCATTTCAGATCCTCACCTGTCCATTGTGCTCCTTAATATCTAACATGTGAAGTGCATTCATCTTTCTTGCAAGAACATAGGAAAGTGCTCTTCTCCCTTGAGCAACAGCAATATGGAGGAACCTAGGGAATGAGGAAAGAAAAATAGGTGAATTCATCCGATTTCACTAAGATCATTTAAAAAAAATCTTTCTCAGCCCTTTTTTTGATATAATAGTGCATTCAAATAAAACATTACAAGGCATAATTAATCTTTTCTGCAAAATGGATGACACATCCAAACTCTAACAGGATAAATTAAAGTAACAGAAATAAGACTGCCCAACACCCTGCGACTGCTTTAAATTATTTTTTAATACTCATAAAAACCCTATGAAGTGGGTATTACTTTTTATACATCAAGAAATAGAGGCAGGGGCTGGGGAGGTAGCTCAGTGGACAGAGTGCTGGCCTCCTATGCACAAAGTTCTGGGTTCAATCCTCAGCACGACATATTAAATAAATGTGCTTAAAATGATTTTTTTAAAAAGTTCTCGAAGAAGAGTCTTAAAAAAATATATAGGTGGGTATTTCAAATAATTTGCCCAAGGTCAAACAGACATCAAGACAAATCAGGATTCAGTCTACAAATCAACTCACCATCTATGCCTAGTCATGATCTGTTTCTGCACTATAAACATAGTTTCGCTGGCCTTCAAAACCAATTACTCAAAGACACATATATTAGGTAATTATTTTAGCCAAAAAAAAAAGCACATCCTTCCTTGAAATATTAGCTATTGAACAGCAGTTTCTACCTAAGTTGTTGTTGGTTAACCAACCACCAAGCTATAACCTAGTATATTCTAGAAAAATGCTATGCCCACTAGTCCCAACTAGTGTGGCATACCCAATTAAGCASGAGAGAAAAGGATACTCACGTATCACCATCTGCATCCTTTGAAAGAAATTGATCCTGGGAAATGTTTGCCAATTTATTTTCTTCTTGCTCTACTTGCCACTGAAAAAATGACTTCCCTAACTGTGTGGTGTTCATCTGGTTTCCCATAAGGTTCGGGAATGGCAGGGAAGTGTTTAAAGAGGCAGGGCCTGCATCGATCGCCCCCAGGGCCTCGCAGGAACTGTTGGGCATCACACTGAAGTTCTGCAGGTGAGCATCACTTGGTTGCTGCACACTGTGGGGAGTCTGAAGGGGAAGAGCAATATTCTCAGATTCCCCATGACCACTTAGAAGGGATACAAAACTTCGGTTTGAGCAGAACTGTGGTTCTTGGCCATCAAAGAGGTTTGATTCATAGTTGGGTGACTGGGAAGTTCTGGAATAAGGACTATATTCCAGAGTTGGGTTGTGGGTATAATGCTGTTGCTGCTGCTGTTGCTGCTGCTGTTGCTGCTGCTGTTGCTGCTGCTCTACATTCTGGTTTTGTGGAGAATACTGGTACAGGGAAGCCTGGTCCATCACTTGTGGGGAGCCACTGACTTGGAATGGTTGATATTTCTGAGGTGGAGAGAAGACCTGCCCTCCATGGAAGTCCTGACACTGCTCTTGGGGAGAGCTCTGAGGTACCACAGGGCTCATCCAGCTAACTTGGACTGTGTTCAGGGAAACTGGGCTGCATTCATTTTTAATGTTTATAATGTTCTGAAGCAGATCAGCACTGCTGTCTGGTTTGGATTCATTGTGATGAACATCTTCCATGCTCTCACCAGGTGTTGGTGTTTGAGGTGGTGTCTGAAAAGAGAGAAAATTCAATTTGCACACTCACTTCCTTCAAAAAATTTTCCAGAGGCTAGGGGTATAGCTCAACGGTACAGAATCTGGGGTTCAGTCCCCAACACACACACACACACACACACACACACACACACAAATTTTAAATAATAAAATTATTCCAGGAAGGATATTCAAAGGGTATTCAGAGGGAAAAAATGAGATACTTACCAAAAACAGAGCTGACTTTTTGCAGGCTGGTCCATCAGACAGAAAATCAGGTCCTTTCCTTTTCCCACTATATGATACTGTGTTCTTCAATTCTATACCCAAAAGAAGGGATATGGAACCCGTGATCATTCTACTTTACAAATTTTACCCATTATCACCATTATTTAACTCTACAGCCCCAATAACATTAACAAGAAATTACTCTTACCTGTGAATTGTTCAATGTTCACACTCTGTGTCTATAAGGAAAAAAATTCCAATTTAGTATATATAAAATGGTTTCCTGCTTAATATACATCAATAAAGACTTATCTCTACCATTCTTTATACACACCATAAATCTCTGATATGGCTATTCTATCAATATTTATTTTCTATCTCAATTTCATTCTATTTTTCAACTTCTCCATTTACACTTTCATCTTAGTTCAACTCAGGTCAAGATGAAATTAGTAAGACTCTTTGATTTTTTCCTTCCTATCAAATGTTCCACTTCAATTGAACCCTATTTATTTCCTTGTCCCTAGTTTGCTTTCACTTTCATTCACTAAATTTCTCCTGTACACCCTAGGTGCCTGGCACTGGATTAAATGATAGAAATACAGCAGTCAACAAGATAAATATAGTCTGTCCTGTGAATGTGATCATTTATGAAAAACTTCAAGTGACTTACTGAACCTAGTTTAGTAAAAAATAATAACCCTAACAGACTAATCTCCTTCAACCCCACTCAGAATGAAAACTAGATGCCACCTTAAAATCATCCACAGCTTGGCCAGAAGTCTTCTGTTTATGACTTCGGATGTGTAGCAGGAGCTCCTTCACCGAGTTCTTCACACGAACACCTTGAAAGGGTCCTCTCTGCTGCCTGCCAACCCCCATATGGGGCTCAACTGTTTAAAGAAAGCAAAACATGTCCCAATTAAACCTCGTCACAGACACAAATCCTAATAATCCCTAAAGTATAGCTACCTGCCTTATGTATAAAGTTCCCAAGAAACAGATTAAAAACCTTTCCAACTCTCTCTGGTCAATGGCCTTGTGTGTCAGTACCCTGCTCTTCTCAAGGGTTCTAGGTTGCTTAATAGTGCTCTGTACTAGGCACCCTTAGCAATGAAAGCTCAGTCAAAAAAATGTCCAGGATCCCTGGAGCCAGCAGTGATAAACCCAAGTTAAGTCTGTCTCTATAATAATTTTTAATTATTCTTGATTTTGGTAAAAAATACTTAGGGGAACAGAGAATAAATGGTGCATTTTTAGCTTTTCAAACCAAAGGCTTCATGTTCACATAGAAATGTAAAAGTCTATTAATTTTCCCTCATCTAAGAAGACACAAAACAAATAAGTACAAAACAACTTCCTCCGAAGATCCCAGTGTACAAAAGCCTAACAATTAATAATGCTTATATTGATTTCTTATGATTTCCCTCAATCCAACTGTACTAAGGAAGCTTCTTAAATTTACTAAGTTTTCAGAATTGCTTGCATAGGCCTTCTAAGTAAAAAGAAAATATGCTTGTTTCACATTAAAACTTCAGAACACACTTTAAAATTTACTCTAGAAGTATAGTATTCTACTTCTGGCCACTACTAAATCATGCCTCTTAGGAAATGTGATGAAGACAAACCATTCAAAAAGTCAGGAAATGAATAACTGGGTCACCCTGTGAAGAGTGGGTAAAATTAAGAAGATGAGACAAGAAACAATGTATAATTTGAATATATATATATATATATATATATATATCATACTAAATACATGAGGTAAACAGCTCAAGGATGAGGCAAATTAAATAATCACTTGGGCTTCATTTAAGTTTAGAGATTTCAACAAATACCAGAATTGCCCTAACCTAACATAACATTCCTCTGTAATGACAGCAGTTAGCAATTGAACGTCACAGGGAGAAAAATGCACTTTCAGGAATCCCCCTAGGCTGTACGGGAAACCAAGAATTAGGAAAATAAAGTTTCAGCCAGAGGAAGGCCAAAGGTCCTAAGGACCTCAGAAAAGGTCCTTGATACACAAATACACAATTTTCAGTTGGGCTACTCTCTTAACATACTGTGGCTTAAATCACTATTTAAATAATTTTAGATGAAAAATAACCTTTTAAAACAAAAAAGAAAAGAGGGATGGCTAACAGTAGAAAGCACTGAAAAGAGATGTTCTTTTAAAATCATGCCAATAAGAYTTCAAGGTTTAAGATTATCTAGGTGTTAAATTTTTACTCACAGCGCATCCTGTTTTCCCCCAAATTATTCAACTCGGTTCATTAAGAAAGAAAACGAATTTACAACCGAAGAAAGGAAACAGTCTGCCTTTCTTTGCTAGATAGAGCTTATCCATTTTAAAGCACACAAAAAAAACAAGACCACAAAATTCTGGGCAGGCTTCCGAAACTCCCCAACACCACAAACTAAAGGCATAACTTGTGTTGTTTTTCAGATCACCTTCTCCTTACATCTTTATTAAGAGAGGTTTCTGTTCTTTGATGGTCAAGTCCTTTTACTTAAAATTTCCACGCTTAGGAAGAAATAAGTCATGACTTTCAAGAGTTCACAAAGCCTTATCCTCTGCAGCACTTGTKTACTAAAATTGCCACAAGAAAATTACACCTACATCAGACTCCCAAACCTCGACATAGTATATTTTTACTCAGTAGGGTATGGGGGGGGGGGGTGCCGAGAGTGAGAGAAGGAGGGAGTGCGCATGAGAGATCTTAATCTAGTATCTTTCATTCTGAAGTCAGCGCTGTACTCGGGGTGCTTGCGAGGCCAGGTAGACCGCGGCCGGACTTCGCAGAAGGTCAAAGGAGCTAATGGGAAGTAAGGCGCCTGGCTCAGGGCAAGGCATCCAGCAGTCGCCTAATAAATGATAAATAATGTGCTTAAGTCCTGCTGCTAAGATAGGCGCAGGGGGGCACCTCACGTCTAGCCAGGACCCTTCCCATTGGGGCAGTGCTGCCCACCCCTCCCAGGCCTGTGGACTCCAAGCAACCTGGGCGCAGCGGCCGCACCCCGCGGGGCAGGCGGGTACCTTGTAGGCGCTCGGCGCGGGCGCCGCCTCTCGGCCGGGACTCCACGGCCCCGCAGGAGGACACCGAGGATGCGGAGGAGAAGTCGGAGGAGTCGGAGCCGGGCGAGGCGGGCGCCGAGGGCCCCGACGATGAGCAGCCGGCGTCGCAGGCGCCCGGAGCCGCGGCGGGTGGCGACGCGCCGTAGAAGTAAGCCAGGTTGAGCGGGCTGGTCATGAGGCCGCAGTTGCCGGCCGAGTCCAGCAGCCCCTCTCCACCGCGGCTGTCGTCCAGCAGCTTGTCCACGATCATGCTCCTGGGCTCGGCGCTCTGAGCCCCCGACACCTGCGCCACTGGCTCGCTGCGCACGGCTGCCTGCGGCCGCGGTGTGGCTGACCAGGGACCTACCAGCGGCGGGCAGCGCGGGGACGGGCGCGGCGAGAGCTGGAGGGCTATTTAACCGGCCGTCGCGCCTAGCCTTGCCATAGGCGGCGCCGGGGCCTCCTCCCGACCCCTCCTCCGGATGCGCAGTTTCCAGTAAAATGTACAGGATGAGGCAATATGCCCTCCGCCCTCGCCCCGCCCGCCCGGCTCCGCCCAGACCGACCGGTTGTTGTGCAGCCCTTCACCTGGAAATCCCGGCGGAGCGCGGCCTCCGGCCTCCGGCACCCAGACCCTCACCCCCCATCCAGAGCCAGCCCTGCCCTCGGCACGCCGCACTCTTGGCTGGGCCTAAWGCTCAGGAAGACGGCGTGCGGCGCAGGGGACTGAGGCCTGCAGGGGGAGGCCGGGAGGCCGGGAGGCCGCGGTGGGGATCGGTAGGCCTGATTCTGGGAGAGTGGGAAGTCCTGGAAGGCGCGAGCCCCGTGCCACCTTTCTGCCCACCGGGGCGCGCTGGCACAAAGAGGTTCTCCACTGCTAGAGTTAAGTGGAGCCTGAGAATACTTTCCCTTCTCAAAATTTAGGAGTTTGCCAGCGTTCTTTTAAGCAAGGTCCCACATTCAATCTTTCTGTCCTCAAGTTACCTGGGCTACAACTTTTTTTTTTTTTTAATTAGTTGCAGTCCCAGAACAAAAAGCAATGCCCACTGTTTCGTAGCTCTCAATACAATAAAGCTATCTTAGCTAAATGATGTACATACATGTGCCTATGTAAATATGTGATTTTTTTAAACGTCTGTATAGCTTTACATTGTGTTTGATAAACTCAGGAATTTGAACCTTTTCTATCTTGAATACTTTTTCCCAATGGGTTTATTACGACTATGTATCGAAGTCCAATTTGAAGGGGGGAAAACATGCTAGTTGTCAGAAGAAAAAGATGCATGATTAAGTCTATCTTTCAAGTACATTATAACTTGTAGGTATGATAAGGTAAGTACACACGTACTATATGAAAAGAAACCGATTAYGATTAAATATCACAAGGGATACAAAGTTCAGTGAGCAGCCTAAAAAGAGAGGCGACTTGTCTGGTAAGAGAGAAGGGAGGTCACAAGGAAAGTTTGTAAAAGCAGTGAYATTGCACAGGCCTTAACGGATGGGTGGGATTTCAGCCATAGGGTTTGTAGGAAGAAGGACATCAAGAGCAAAAGAATTAAGGAATGGAGTCAGCTAGGACTTTACAGTCACATATAGGAAGGTCAAAGGGAAGATGTTGACAAATGTAAAAAATAACTTGTTGCCTTTGGATGGAGCATATCCAGGGACCTACTGAGACACAGAATCAATTTACAGGACTAAAGACTGCAGGCCCAGTGGCCATGAAAAAGAATTGCAATAGACCAGGAGAAAACTGACCTGACCCTAGGCCAGAAACAGTGAGTGGCAAAGAAGAAAACAAATGAAAGCACAGTAGAGCCATATTGCTATGGCAGAATAAATAGATCTAACATAGTTGGTAGTGAAGAGCAATGAAAGAGTTCCAATCTCTTGGTGGCTTGAGGCCAGGAACAGGTGAATACGGATGTAAAGTTCAGATCAAAGGGAAATCAGCAGAAGCACAATGTTTGGTTCTAGGAAGGGGGGAATGACACAATAAACTTGGATTGTAACTTAACATTAATAGGTATCAGACCCTGGAGGGGATCATTACAAAGTAAATATTTCCTTATTTCTCACAAATGTGGCATTACCTGTAACTTGTTACTGCCTCTGCCTCCACCCAATTTTTGGTAATAAATCAGAAACAACTCTCTTAGTGTTTCTGTGGAAAATACAAGGTTGTAGTAATTGCAGTTCCTCAGAAACAAAATCACTTAAAAATGCTCCAGATGAGATGTTAGTATGATGGTTAATTTTATGTGTCAACTTGACTCAGTTAAGGATGCTCAGACTGCTAGTAAAACATTATTTTTCTGTGTGTCTATGAGGGTGTTTGTTAGCATTGAATCAACAGACTAAAGAAGAAAACCTTACCAATATAGGCAGGTATCATTAATCTATTAAGGGCCAGAATAAAACAAAAACGTACAATCTCTTATTGAGTTCAGTTTTTTTCTGGTCTCAGACATTAGCACTCCTGATTCTTTGGCCTTGAGACTCCAATGGAGGATTATGTCATCAGATCCCCTGTTACTCAGGCCTTTGGGCTTGTATCAGAACTACACCACAGGCTTTTCTGGTTCAGTTTGCAAATAGCAGATGATGAGACTTCCTGGCCTCCATAATGGTGTTAGTTAATCTTTCATCTCTTTGTATCTACATGTATGCCCTATGGGTTCTGTTTCTTTGGAAAACCTAAATACATTGGACTTTGTCAATAAAATCTGTTTGGATTTTTTCCCTCTTTAATACACATATAATAAAGAACTTAAATGCCCATTCGAATAAATTCTACTTGGTATATAAAAAGTCATTGGGGAACTGGGGTTGTGGCTCAAGTGGTAGAGTGTTTGCCTAGCACGCGTGAGGCATTGGGTTTGATCCTCAGCACCACATAAAAATAAAATAAAGATATTGTGTCCATCGAAAATGAAAAATAAATATATATATTTTTTAAATTCAATGGGAGGTCCATCACACCTCTAATTCCAGCTACTCAGGAGGCTAAGGCAGGAGGACGGCAAGTCTGAGGCCAGCCTAAGCAGTTTAGCAAATCTCTGTCTCAAAATAAAAAGGGCTGGGATGTGGCTCAGTGCTTGCCTAGCATTTTCAATATCATGGGTTTGATCGCCATTATGAAAAAGAAGAAAACAAAATTCAAACTGAGGTAGAATAGAAGAAATAAGGATATGCAGAAAGGAGAAAAGCAGGGAAGGAAAAAGGGGTTGTAACTTTACATCTAAAAACTCCATGTAGGCCCTTAACTTCACTACTACCACCCCAGGCCTGTCCCCCCCCACCCCAGGCCTGAATTCTTAAAAGGTCCACTACATCTTAGAGAGCTGTCTTTGTTAGTTTATAGAATGCTATTTTTAGACTGATTAAAAGAACCCTAGATAAAGACTGGTTATTGTTTGGATATGCCATGTTCCCCCAGATCTCCTGTGCTAATGCAGAAGGTGAATGATTGGATTGCGAGAGCTGTACCTAATCAGTCCATCCTACTTTGAATGGACTTACTGGGTGGTAACTATAGTCAGGTCGATGTGTCTGATGGAGGTGGGTCACTGGGGGTGTGCCCTGGAAGGGTACATCTTCCCTATGGCCCCTTCCACTCTTTCTTTCTCTCTTTCTCTCTGCTTCCTGGCTATCATGAGTTGACCAACCTTCTTCGGCCTCACCCTTCCACCATGATGTTCTGCCTCACCTCAGGCCCAGGGCAATGGAGTTGGCCCAGCATGGCCTGAACCTCTGAAGCCATGAGCCAAAATTAACTCTCCTTCCTTTAAATTGTCCCTGTCAGATATTTTGGTCACAGTGGTGTCCATGTGCTATTAACTAGGTAATGTCAGCCTGAAGATTCTAAAAAAGATCCAGACCACTGTGACCCACTCTGTGCTCCAAGATCAATCAAAAGAATTGAGTTCATTAAGCTGACATCACCCCTCTTATATGTTTCTCATGATCACCATTTAAGAAGTTTCCTGTAAAAGARGACGCCTGAGACCCCAAAAGTGTGTCTCACTCTTCAGTACCAGCGCTCTCTCCCTTTGAGCACATATCTCACTCTATTATTTGCTTTCTTGAATAAATCTTTACTTGAACCTCTTTTCACACATCCTGAAATTCCTTTCTGGGGTAACTGCCAGGGCTGATTTGGRGTCCCCTTTTCGCTTCTGAAGACCTCCTCAGGCCCCATCTAGTGACAAGAATCATGGTCTCTGGAGAACTTAATATAGTCAATGAATGACTAATGTTTCACAATAAACAAATTTTCCATGAAATACCAAAGCAGTAGTAGTGTTTGAGAAGACCACAACCCTGATTCTCAGAAACTCTCCCCGACATGGTCAGGAATGGGTTTTGTTGACATTGCTGTAAGAAGAAAATTTAGATATATTTTGCTTCATTTAAATGTTGAAGTATAAACTTCATTTAGTCTATTAGGTTTAATGATATAACACCCCCATTGTTCTAATCCATTACGGCTGAACATTCACTCTGGGGAAGAAAGCCACCATGTTATGAGAATACTGTCTGGAAAAGTCTACTTAGGGCAATGGCAGCACCAACTTGCCAGTCATTTCAGTGGCTACTCTGAAAGCAGATCCTGGAACTACGCACAGCCTTCAGATGATTCAGTCGATAATATTATTTGTAATTTCATAAGAAACCTTGAGCCAGAACTCCAGTGCCACTTCCAGATTCCTGGTGCACAAAAACTATTTACAAAAAAAAAAAAATAAGAATTTGTCCAAAGTCATCATAGGTGAGGAGAGATTAAAATTCTTATTTCTCTGATGTTGGAGTCTGATCTTTTGCTTTAAAAAGGGAGATTAGACAACTTACTTTCTCAAGGCTCAGATGTACTGTCTATACCTAAAGACACTTAAAAAAACATAAAAATGCCATATCGGAGAGTTTTGTCACTCATAAAAAGAACCAATCTTTTCCCAAGTGACTGGAAGAAACTATTAAATTAGAAATTAAAATTGGCAATGCTATCTTTCCCCTGGCTTTAGAACTGTTAATAATTTACCTTATTATGTTTTATGCAATAAAACATCTTGAATAGTTTTATGGTCCCAGTTATGTTGTAACCCCACTTCGAGACGCTAAAAAAGGAATTGAGTGTGTGTGGTATGGTCTGTGTGTGTGTGTGCGTGTGTGTGTTTGCTGCTGGGTATTGAACCCAGGGCATTTTGCATACTAAGCAAGCACTCTATCACTGAGCTACACCCCCTAGTTGATAACTATAATTAACTGTAAATGTAACAAACTTTTGAAAAGCCAAGAACTATTTAGAAGAGTTCTTCACA